CTGTCATTTACTTTCTTGACCTTCAAGCAAATGAATTTCGCTAGCTTGTGTATTTCTCCACGTTTGTTGTCTTAGCGGGTTTCCTTCCTTGTGTATCTTCAGTAGTCCATACGCCGTCGGTGGTCTTGCGTCATTTTTTATTAAAGATTTCATCATCCATCTCTCTATTTATCCATTACTATGCATTTCATTTAATATATTATTCAGTGTCCCATTGATCTTCATGGTTGGATCCTTCCTTTGTATTTGATAAGTGTTCCGGTCGCCAAGGATTCTTTTCATTCTCTCCTTGTACTGTTTCCTGTACATTACAACCGTCGCTCCTCCCTTATCCGCCTGAAGAACTATTTAATCATTCTTTTATATTTTTTTCCCTATACCAGCCAATCTGCTCCTGTGTATCGGTTCTTGATGTGTCAGGATCCGTAGGATTATTTCCAGTTTCATCTCCCACCTTGTATCTTCTGGGTATTTATCCGTTATGTTGACAACTTCCACCAGAATATCACTCAGAACATTTCCTTCATTACCTAGGGAAATATGTAGCCCCTTCTATAAGAGATCCGTAAGTTCAGAATCAGTCATGCTGTGAAGTTTTTGAAAATCATCCAAAGTGAGGACCCTACCTAGAACCTTCCTTAATATAGACTTGAGATATATGAACTTAAATAGCTTACGCCTCTTAGTATTGTAGCTTTCCTCTAATTTCTGGATGGAGGTGCGATAAAGTATTTCATGAACTGTGTCCGAATGACACTTCCTCATTAGATTGCAGAATCGGGAAGCGATACCATAATGTTTGCAACAATTCAAAAAGGCCAAATAACAGGATTGACTTTGTAATCCGGCTGTATTCAGTGCATTGTTTGGCAATCTTACTTTCATAGTTTAATCAAAGGTATGCAGACCAAGATGGTGTGGCCCTTTGTGTGGTCGCAGTCTCCTTTCATTCTATAGAGGTTGATTGACTTTGTTTTCGCAACTTGGTCATATTGGTATAAAGACTTAGAGAAACGCACCTAGTACCGTGCCTATTGTATGCATTATAATTTCCAGGGTAGGACCGTGGTTGTGGTATATTGGACTACGATGCCGGCAAAACGTTTGGGAATGTACCACGTAAACGCTCCTACTCTGGAAATTATAATGCGTTCAATGGACTCCGGATTATGTATGTTCCTCTAAGTCTTCCTACCAATCAGACCAAGTTGCGAAAACAAGGTTTAACAACTTCTATACAACGAAAGGAGACTGCGACAACACAAAAGGCCACACCATCTTGGTCTTTATACCTTCAATATATTCTTCTCTTTATCAGGAAAATCACACGTTTTTATCTAATGAACACATAAAAAGCTAGTTATATTGCATGAAACTCTCCTACGGAAGTTATCATGCCTAAAGCTTGATTATGATCTGGCGTTCTCCCTCTCCCACTCTTCCTGTGAAATCCTTCTTTGATGACTTTTGACCTATATTTCTTGCAGCCATGGCTAAAAAGCGGATATATTCCAGCATCAATTAAAATGTTTCCTCATTTGTATTAGGGAATTTGTTTTTTATTAATATAACATTGTCGGGCATGGATGAATAAAACAAGTACAGCATGTATATCATTTCTACAAACACCTTTTAGTAGGATGCTATATATTACTAACGCTTTTCTATAATTATTTTTGTATTTTACGTATAAAGAAACTCTTACATAATTGATCTTGCTTGTTTAAAGAACGAAACACTTTAAAATATCGCCTTTGTATTGAAGAGGTGAGGCAGTAGATATTTGTAACTGCATTGACTATAATTAACTTTTTATCAGAGAAATTGAAGCAAGACAATTAGCCTCAGCTACATATGGCTGTACTTTGCGAAAGCCTGTCGTTTAGTCCGCCACCTGTCAATGGAATAGGCCGATCAGTAGTTGTGGCGGATTGGGCCTCAAAAACAAAGTCTGGAAGCAAATTTGTATGCAATCTCGCATTTCTAACACAACAGAGGGCAAATGCAATTCTAGCTGGAGTCGACTATCCGAACTGCTTAGCTTGGTTATTTTACCCTGAGGATATTGAATTCCTGCTATGATTGGTATGACTTAACTTTAAGCCTACATAAAGCAACCTTCCCTAAGTCACTAATTTGTTTGATACTTTCTTTTGGCTCTGGAGTTCGTTTTCTCTAAGCCTTCAGTATGTAATGGTAACTTGCCCTTTGCTACCAGCCCAATTTGTATTCGTATCAAAGGCTTGTAAAGTCTTCCGTTTACTTATCAGTTGGTTATACTCTTGCATTACCTTCTGAGATATTTTCTTCTCTTTGATCTTAGTGTATTTCAGAAGAACTCATTTTGATATGTGCCAGGAAATTTTTATTGTGGCATTTTTCTACGCCTCGCTTTCCATGTCTATAAAGTAGTCGGAATTAAATCTTGTTCTACATGTCTTGAATAAGCGAACACTGTTTTAAATGTTTTTTATTCGAGTTGGCGGAACTTCTCAAATGTTGATCTGGAGATCTCGAACGACGCAGGCTTCCCTCAGTCTGAGGTTTTTAACGCAGGTTTTCCGTTTGCATTATTTGATACCACAAAACCACTTTGAATTCTTATAAAATGATACTATTTTTCAAGTAGAGCTGAACCATTTATTTTTATAATTTCTCTTTATTAGAATTTGGCGTTGTGAAGAGTGTTAATCAATATTTTATATTTTACTTGAGCAAATTCATATTTACACCTAATTATGGAGTTATTTATAATAAATTCTTCTTATGTACTACAGAAAAAAAACGCAACACTTCTGAGTATCAGCGTACGGTTGACATTCCAACCATTAAGCAACTGCAGAACCGTCAGCGTCGCCTCTGCGATGAGTGTACCCAGCACTGGAGCAAGAGAGCACGTGAGCTTGTAACAAATGGAGAAGAGCTGATAGACGATGGGCATGTGCCCAGTGACGAGGTGGGTTGAGTCCGCGTTAACAAGAGTATATTTCACAAATAATACTCAAACTAGTTAGCTTCTTAGCCTCTAATAGGAAGAAGGAATAATGACTCAAATATATATTTTGCTTTATTTTACTCAACTTTACCATACTTTTTACTATTGAACCTGAAATCACCTTACGCGACTTAGGTTGACTAAATTCTCACTCAATAATCCTTGATAGTCTCAAAATGGCAGATACTTGCTTGCTTAATCAGCAATCGCACTATAAATGTGATTTGGGATAGGCTTGGTTTTCTTTGAATGCCGCATCTGTCGTGTGGTGCACTGAATTATATGGCCGTGTTGTAGAGTTGAGTGTTAACATCGCCACGATACTTACATCCTGGTATCGAATCACGCTGGGTGTGCGGACCAGACCTGGCCGAGCTCAAAACTGTGGTCCACCCTAGAATATATAAGCTTTTAGGGGACAAAGCTTAGTGAAATTTGATGCCATCATCACTATTAGAGCTTAACTCATCTTACGCGACCTGGAACGATTAGTTTTTATTCTTTAGCACTTTACTTTAATTGGCCTTAAGTTGCCAAGCCGTTAACTCTCCTCTACTCCATTATCATTTTTTCTTTTGTTATAACTTACTCTGTTTGAATTTGCTTTATTCTGGCATGATAAAACAT